CCTTTGATTGTCTTGTCCACCACTATTACAAGATTTGGAACCACCATATATATATTGATTGCTTATGCTGTATTTGCTTCTTTATAATAGTTGTCCCTACAAGTAAGTCTTTGATTTCCAATTTCTTTCTTGTTTACTTAATATGGAAGTACAAAGAGTCACCTTGCATCCACCGTCTTTAAAAAAGATTATCCTTGCTATCTAATTAATTTGATTATTTTCCATCTTCAGCCATAGCATACTAATGATAACATCATACCTTAGCTTTGTCACCTTGAACATCTTTCTTAAGATGTAGATGTTAGTCAACCTCAAAATTTCTTTTATACATGTCTCATTGAATATGTTTTCTTGATCATCTATAAGGTATATACTTCTTTCGTTAATTTCCTTAGTTTTAATTCTAAGTTGGTTGGCAATTTCAATTGACATATAATTTTTTGTAGAACCACAATCTACAGGCACTTGACATGGTTGTCCTCTTAATAGTTCCATAATATGCATCAATTAATTCTTTTATAATTGTCCAAGGCCATGCCATTTTTTTCTAAGAAAGAGTAGATATCCCTGGTATTGCTCTTTAGTGCCTTTATTAGGGAGCTCTATTTTCTTACTTTATCTCATTGTCGACTTGGTGAGTTTCGAGATTATAAACCTACCTTATTTTTGTTGGTGCTTGAATTTTGACATTTTAGACAACTTCCAATCTGATGGTTTGTTCCCGATAATAGAAACACAATCTCTTTTGTGCCAATACTTGTCATCTTTGTGGTATCAATGATCTTTGTAAAGCATCTACCTCCATTAGCGTTGATTGCTATACCATAATATTAGACAGTGGCATAGGACTTCGTGCTATATGTCTTATTCCACGATTTCTAAAATCTATAACATCGACCCTTTTTGCTATCCAAATTGTCTCTTCAAATATTTGTGGATCTTTTAGCTCTACCTCTCGTTAGACTCCAGGTTTCAAACCTCATAGGAATTAATCCATCATCTTTATTTATAAAACATTGTCAATTTGAAGATATAGGAACTTGAATTTGAAGATATAATCTTGTACTGTTGTAGATTGTGTAAGATTTGTTAACTAAATGTGTGCTATCTTCTCCACATTGATGGGCCAAAATTGATTCCTAAACTTGGTTTCAAACTCTTCTCAATCACAAAATGTACCTTGAACTCCAAAGCTTTCAACTCAATGTCACCACCAAATAGCTACCGCATCTCTCAAATAACTGACTGCATATATAATTCTTTCAATGATATTTGCCTCAGATTGTTGGAAGTATTGTTGCATGATGAAGAATTATTGACATACGTCTTCTTGTCTTAAAATTCCAAAGTATGTACTAGGCTTACTCAATTTCAACCTAGCAGATGTCTACTCCCTTCTCCTTGAGGCTTCTATTTGCTCTTATAAAGTAACTATCAGATTTAAGAGGTATTGTATTTGAACCTCCATCTGGGATTGCTCTGCCATATCTTCTATACTATAATTTCTCCGCTGGATTCTACTATTGTAATGCCTTCTAACTCCCTGGTTGATTTTTTAAGAGTAGCTCCTATTAGCCTAAACATAGTACCTAATGTGATTAAAACAACTAACTTTAGACTAGATGACGACTATTGATATTATACTAAAAAAAATAGTCCAACACTAGCTCTAATACCAATGATACATGACCAATCTATGTCAAGTATTTAGAACCCTTCTAATCCACTACAACATAAAAATCTCATCACAAGATAGGACAAACTAGACCAGAATAAAATTAAACAAAACTAAATAAAATTGGACATGGAAGACAAAACTCAATAAATAAAAAATAAAATAAAATAGAACTAAATATAAAGATGCAAAACCAAACTTTATTAAGAGAGAAGGTTCAAAAACTTATTTAATTGGATGCCCCAAAAGGCCTTGGTCAGTCTTATATATAATTTATTCTACTACCTTGGACTTTCTAGAATGTTCTTAGGTCATAGATCTTATTTAAATAATTGGCTTAAATTCCTTCTAGAAGATTCTATAATAGATCCCATCTAAATAATTGTCCTAAATTCTTTCTAGAATATTCCATAGTAGATCCTACTTCTAGAATTTTAGAAACTAATCTAATCCCAATTCTAAAAACTTCCTTGGTTCTAACTATCTATCCCTATGTGTCAATCATACAAATATCATATCTATACCATATCACAGATATTATATATGATCAAAAATCCTAATTTATATTAAGATTTTAAAAGATTTTTTTTAACATATTAAATATTGATATAAAGTTGTATTCAATTTTACATCCTTAGATTGAAGGTAAATAAAATATATAAATCAAGCATTAGAATAATACTTACAAAGTACTATCACATATTACTAAGACTATTTGATAATTTTCTTATCATCGGCATAATTTTTATATAATAATATAATATGTTTTTTTAATAAAATTTAATACTTATGGCTTTGAAAAAGTTGGAAAACCAATATCAAAAACAATTGATAAGTTAAATTATAGAACTTCACAAAATAATAGACTAAAAATGACTGAGAATTAATGTAGATCTTTTTATTCAAATTTGATAGTAAGGTATGATTATTCCATTGTAATTTTGAGACTAATCAAACTTGTGACAAGTTGGATTATTTCTTATTTAAAAATAAATTAATCTAATAGAAAATGAATTGCAATTATTATAATTAATAAAGATTTATCATGTATTTTATATGTCTTTTATCAAGCCTCATATTAAAAATTAGTATATTAAAAAAAATTTAAAAAAAATACCACCACCTTCAATTGTATATATAATAATCAAGAATTTAAAGTGGAAGAAGTCTTGGATTTAAGACATTTTTAAAATTTATTAGAATATTTTGTATATCATTACAAATATAATATTAATAAATACATATAAAAACCATGTCAAAAATTATTTTTGATTTTTACAAATAACATCCATTAAAAGTATGAATCAAATATTTTCAAAAAAATAATATAAAATAAAATAAAATAAAATAAGTCTAAAATTTAAGCTTTGGAATATCTTTGCAAGATAGAGAACCAATACTTGACAAATTTATTTCAAGAGATATTATTTTAAAATTTCTAAATAAATTATTCAGGTTGCCTTAATCTTTTGAATATCAAAATTAAGATAAAATTCTTTAAGATAGACATTCTTTGTATAGATAGCAAGATATAATGTGTATGTTATTATAATTTTAAAAGAGACTCTTGTTGCTAATTGATACTATTGGATGTGAATATTATACTTGATAGCATTCATAATAATAGTCAATGTATGTGCATGTTTTATATATATATATATATATATATAAATAGATCTTAATAATAATCAAATAATTAAGTAGTCTTCTTGCTCTTATATGCTTTATTATTAATGATTGAAGGAACTAACAAACACTTTCATGCAAAGTATAGATCAAAGTATATTACTAATATCATTGAATAAATCTTTGACTTCATCAAATTCTAAAATAACTTCATTGATCTTGTGAAACTTGTTTTTAAAAAGAGATGTAATATAAATAATGTTTATTTTAATTTAGTATATAAAAGTAAATAAAATTAAGTAAAAGTAGATAGAACATGTTATATAGACAATATCTTCATTAAGAATCTTAATAAACTTATCTAGAGATATATTAGATCAATAAAATTATATTTAAAGCAACCTACAACTTGATACTTGGGCTATTAGTTTTATGGTTCTTATAAAGCATTTATATGGCATTTTTTGATAACTATTATGTGAAAGATAATAGTGAGGCTATCTTCATTTTTTTTTAATACATTTCTTGTATTTTAATCTTAGTTTTAGTCTTTTTTTTTTTTTTTTTTTTTTTTTTTTCTTTTTGATAATAGCCATTGTAATTCTTTCCAACCTTACATCAATGTGTTTATTTCTATTATTACTTTCTTACTTCTTTACTAATACAAAAATATATATTTTTTTGAATTTTGTCTAAATATATGTCATTGACAAAGACTCCCTCACTTCTTTGTAAATTACAATTGCCATTTTAGTTTTATTCTATATTATACTTTTTTCTTATTTTTTTACTTTCTTTCTATTAGTAACACAAGTATATATTGTTATGTTAGTATTTAGTCTTGATTCATGTCCTTAACAACATACACAATTAGTTATATAATCAATATATCATAGCTAATAAGTTTTATTAAGTATTATCTTATACAATACTTTAAATAATTCAAATCTATTACAAAATATTAATTCTAAATATTAAATAAAAGATCTAAATATTTTTTTATTCTACATCATAATTATAATTAATTTTTAAACTTTGGATTTAAATTTTAGAATTCAAATGGAAATGATTTTGATTTTAAATTATTAAAAAATAAAATAATTTATTCAATTTAATCCAAAAGATAAACACAACAAATTATTTATTGAACACCTCAATTTTACATTCTTCTATATTTGTAATTATTTTCATTGTGTGATAAATTCTTTTAATTCAAAGAATTTATTTAGATTTTGGTTGATAAATAATCTTAATAATAATAAGCTAATTTGTGTAATAATATTTTTGAAATTTAATATTTAGTGAAAAAACAATTAAGGATCTGTGTTAAAATTATCATAAAATCATTCATTTAGAGTAATCTATCTATCTATCTATCTCTCTCTCTCTCTCTATATTTTTCTTCTTCTTCAAAGTAAATATTGGAAGAATTTGATTTTCGTATATGGTTGTGATTTAATGTCTTAAGCAAATGACGTTGGTGTGAAAATTTTGTCTTGGAAAAGTTGAGGAAGGTAAATTATTCAAGGTGGGGAAGGAAAAGCCAATGGTTTATGCTGGGCATTGCCGTTGCTACCGTCCTTGAGTTTACAGGTATCTTGGCGGATATATCGTTAGGTTGAGTGTAGATTCTGTCCACCGCCGCCCTTTACGCTTCACGGTGACCCAGATGGAATTGGATGTTTATGGCATCTTGTATTTTTCTTTTCGATTGACCTAGGTTCTGGAGTAACATGACCTCCAAAGTCGAGAACTCTTATTAGGTGGTGGCTCTAAACTTGTATTGGTATTTAGTGGTAAAATTAGTGATTGGACATTCCAGCATCCCGAGTTATCGGAGACGAATTGAACAGGGGTTACGTTGGGGTGCACGGTGGAGAGTAGAGTTGCAACCAACGCGGGAAGGTCTGTTGTGTTTGGGAGGCCATGGGATGGAAGACATTGGGTGTGGAGATCCTGGTTCCAGAGGGTAGATGGCCCTGTCCTCCGCACATTAGGGTTTTATGTCAGAGACAGACTTGCGGAAACCTCTACACTCGTCCCTTGCCTTGTCTGGGTGATCTTTTCCCTGCCTTTCACTTGCTTCTCCTGCATGTGGTCCGTTGCCAAGATCTACTTCCAATCATTCCGTAGTTATGGGTTAGTTTTCTGCCATTTCGGTTTGTCTGAATGCCTGCGGCATAAACCCTCATTCTTCATTGCTGTTCTGAGCAAGTGTATTGTGGTTCTAGCCGTGATTACCGCACCACATCGCACCATACCCCTCCGTCCTCCTCCCTGCAGCGCTTGGTGCTGGAGGATTTTTGGGGGCCTCCTCTGCAGCATACAGTTCTCTGCTGGGAGAGAAGTGTGTGGGGATGGTGTGTCGCCATCATGGCAACGGTAGTGGTAGAATTCATGAAAATTTGATTCCAGCAAGTGCGAAAATCGCGGGCATCGCGGTGTCATGTCTTCCGCTGGTTGATAGTGTTATTAAGTACTGATTTTGTGTCCTGCAGCCAAGATCAAGGTGCTCGAGCTTCGCGCCCAGAGCAAGGATGAACTACTTATTCAGGTCTGTGAACTACATATAAGTCCTGCAACAATTTTGGATCCTGCTAACTAAAATCGACATGGCTGGAGGGTGAACTTCTGTGATTGCTGATTGAAAAATCTTCAGGCGGTTGGAAACGATCTGTGTTTACAATTCATCGCATTAGGTTCTGTTCATTAAAGTCCCCCCTGTACCAGATCCTCTTGCCAACATTTCAGAAACTCTTTCACTGAGTTCTTGTCAGCTGGCCCGACGGATGGCGTTGTATTTAAATGCGTCCCTATGTTTGTCACAATTCTGAGGCAACAAATTCTTGGTTCTGTGATTTAATCACAGTTGAAGGAGTTGAAAGCAGAGCTGACCTTGCGTACTGCCGCCGAGGTCTCTGGAGGTGCTCCAAATAACGTTTTTGAGATGTACGTATTTTTCTAGCTTTTGATCATTGTGTGATGGCATATGCATTGGTTCATCTGCCAAAAACATTGTGTGCACCATGGGGGTGCGACATTTCGTTCTGGTGATGTGTTGGTGATTCTTACGTTTCGGAGGAGCATTTACATGTTGATCTGATGAATGAGTACCTTCTCATTAGGTAGTCGTTTGATAAGTTGGTTCTCACATGTCTTGTTTGTATTTCTTTTGCGTGCAGTAGGTGCTAGCAGCCAAGGGAAGTTATAGGAACATGGCTACGAGCACCCGAAGTCCAGCGGGGATGGTGGGGTTGAAAGCGTCCGCTGGGACGCAGCAGCTACAAAAGAGTAATGGTTTTGCAGTAAATGGTATGCCTGCAACGACAAGCTCGTCTCAGCAGTCGAGAGAGGTTGCCTTCGACAGACGAACACATATGCTGCCTCTGGTTGTTGCCCTGAATTGCCTGGAAGATTGCCGACTTGAGGAAGAAGCACTTGCTGGCATTGCAGAAGTTCGGCACGTAGGGTTGACGCAAGTCACAGAGGGAAGGATCGAGACTGCGATCGCCGTATTGATGACCTCTCTGGCAAATCTGCCTGGCGCAGCCCAGAAGAGATTGCAACCCTGGCAGCTCATCCTGTGTTTAAGCTCTGTGGACAAGGCAGTGGACGCAGCATTGGCTGCCGAGATGGGTTTGCAAGTAATTCATGTTGATAGTAAGCGCGTGGAAGAGGTGGCAGATACCACCTTGGCTTTGATGCTGGGGCTGTTGCGCCATACTCATGTTTTGGCTAGGAAAGGTCATGCAAGTGCTGCGGGATGGCTGGGAGCTTCTAAGTCTGTGTGTACAGGTATGCATCGCTGCAAAGGACTTGTGTTGGGGATTATAGGGGCATCCGCAACCGCATGCGCTGTCGCTGTTCGGAGCCTCGCATTCCGGATGCTGGTTATATATTATGATCCAGAGGTGAGTCGTTCTGATCTCGCAGTCCCACCCATCTCATACAAGGTATAGCCTGCGCATCAGTTCTCTTGTTCGATCTTTAGAAGTGGCTCTTTGTTGCACACAGTAATCGCATCCATTATGTATGTTATTACATACTGATTGGTTAATGAGAGTAATAATTCCTCTGGCTCTCCCCGCACGTAATGTCGTGTTAAAGTTATTCTCCAACCTGTGTTTCGTCATTCATTTCTACAATATCATTCAGTTTAATTTCATGCGTATCAGCGTAAGGGGTTTAGATTTATGTCTTATATTCTCCATCTATTGCACCGGGGTTGTGTGATCTAGATCTCCTTTGAGGCGTACATGCTTGTTTTACTCTCGCTTTGTTTCTTATCTGTTATACGAGTATGCTAATTTTTTTTATTTTATTTTATTTTTTATTTTTTCAATAATTTTAGTTTCATCCATATACATACGGTGATGCACAGAATACAGAAGGTGAGCAAGTAAACAAGAGGCAGTTGCCTTTTGCTGCAAAGAAGGTTAATAGCCTGAAAGAGCTGCTTGCTTCCAGTGACGTAATATCTCTTCATTGTGCTCTCAGCAATGAAACTGTGCAGCTCATAAATGCCGAATTTCTTGAATCGGTCAAACCAGGTAGTCTACTTCTGATCATCCTTATACGTTCATATGTTGTTTTCTAGTACTCGTCGATTACACATGAGGCTGGCAGTAGTTTATGAACTTTGTATATCGGTCTAGTATCTTGAGACATTTCATTCACTTGTTACATCAGCTGTAGCTATTTTTGGCATTTGGGAGCTAGTCGTCTAAACCCTGGTTTGTCTTTAAGGTAAGTAATTAGACAAGTTGTTGTGCAGTTCATGGACTTGGGAAATGGCCATAATATTCAATTCCTCTATTTCTGAACTTGCTGACTGGGTTGCAGGTGCAATTCTTGTGAACACTAGCAGCAGCCACTTGCTGGATGATTGTGCAGTGAAGCAGGCAATCATAAATGGTAAGCTAGCAGGCTGTGCATTGGACGGCGTGGAAGGTCCTCACTGGCTGGAAGCATGGGTAAGATTCATCATCTCTTGTATTCTGTCAGCCAGTGTTCTTCATTAGGTTGCGTGTGAAACGTGAGTCCAATTATCGGATATTGCATAGCTTCTTTTGAATAAATCTGGTCTGAAAACATGCTTAATTTGTACAGATCAGGTCGAAGAGTCTGTAAATGGCATTGGTCTCATGTATTGTTGTGTTCTTCAAGTTCAAACTTGACTACATTGAAGTAACATGGGGAACAAGTTAAGAATTGTTTAGGCATTTTTTTGCCTCTGAAGTCTTTCACAAGCCAGTGTGAATTGCAGCGAGTTGTGTGTTCATGATTTTGACAGGTCCGAGAAATGGAAAACGTGCTGGTACTACCGCGTAGTGCTGAATACAGTGAGGAGGTTTGGCTAGAAATCCGAGCGAAAGCTTTAACTGTACTGCGTTCTTATCTAGTCACAGGTGTGGTACCAATGGACATCACCTCTGATGATGATGAGTACTATGCAAATTTCACTCAAGAACCCTGCCAGGAAACTTTGACGAAGACCCTGATTGGGAAGGAGGAGTCCAGGCATCATGGTGAGGTAACGTCTGGATCTGAGTACAGGGCTAGTTCGATGGTTTTTCAGGCTCAGGATCCACGCTCTCTTGGGCAGGATTCAAGAATTGACAGCTTTAATCTAAAGCAACAGCACGAGGGACATCAGAATCAGGGCAGAGGATCAGGAAAGAAGTCAAAAAAGCGGTCTGGACGGCGGAAGTCTCAACATAATATGGATTCTTTTCAAGTCCAAGAAAGAGAAACGGATTGGATTTCAACACCAAGAAATGACCAGGGTGCTAGTGTGAGTGCTCGGGATAACAGACCTATCTCTGATTCTCGATTTGGTTCACCAGGAGAGGGCAACCTCAAGGCCATAGTTGACACTCCATCAAGTGGGCGAGAGCAGGTGACTAGTATGGTGTCTATGGGATATGCTATAGATCAACTGAAGGAGGGTTTCGTTGTAGCTTTGCATGCAGTATCAGGGGGTGGGTACTATGTGGCTCGGCAACGTGGTCCTGGCCGAGGATGGTGCTTAGATATTCTGTTTGATGTGACACCCCGGGACCCTGCTTCTCAGTTCCTCGTTGTAGTACGCAACAGGGTAAGTTTTTCATCTCATTTATGGATAGGTAAACTCGAGCTTGGCTTGTCTAAAAGTTCTGTGAAGACATAGTGCAGTGAATGTTGCTGTAGATAGTATGTGATCTTTCTTCCGATACTGATCTTTTGATTAAAATCAATTGAGTTATTTTAGCATGTTTGTGTTACACACTGGATCTAACAACTTGTACAATGGTACAGGATCGCATTGGTCTTAGATCCCTAGCAGCAGGTGGTAAACTCCTTCAGGTTAGTGTTGATCTAATGTTTTTCAAAAGACATCACGTCACTTTCCACTTCTTTGATCCAGCTTTAGAAGTCTTTTCTCAAGTTGATATGGCATTATTGGTCGTATCTGGACGAAAGTTGCCTGAAACCAATCTGATTTCTTTATACCAACAGCATGTAATAATTAACATGCACATTTGTGCCCATCTTATAAACATGAGTTGAGTGCAGGCGAATAAGAAGCTGGAGTTGGTGTTTGTCAACCATACATTTGATGTGTGGGAAAGCTGGATTGTAGAAGGACGTCAACTTGATAACTGCAGTCTGACAAACAGCAGATTTCGCTCGGTAGGTATTAACCCTTGAATATCTTTCTTTATTTCTAGGAGACCGTTTTGCGGGTCTGAACAAGGCGGTGATCAACTGCATATCTTATCTCACACATTGTCTCTTTTCATTTGCTTATATGAGCAGGTCACTTTGCAAGTATCTATGGAGATTCTAGCAGCTGTAGGTGAGGAAGATGGCATTGCCCGCTGGCTGAGCTAAATTCAGTTGGCGAATTTATTACTTCACTGACTTCATTCACCATACGCACCAACATTCACCAAATGCACTGACACAATGCTTCCTCGTGCTTCAGTCAATCAAGTGGGATTGGATTTACACTTTGATGATCAATAGACTAAAATGCTACCTAAATTTGTCCTAATTACTAGACCTTAGGAATGGTTTGATGTATTCTTTTCTGAGGCCAGTGTGGTTAAACCCTGGTCTTCTTAAAGTTTAACCCCAAGCTAGGATGATAAGTGCCCTTTTCTGCATTGGGATGACCTGCTATCAAAATGAGAGTATCTCTGCAAATTGTTCAACGAAGACAATGTCCAAGGTCTTACAGGATGATATCATGTCAAACCGCCTAAACCACCCTCCAGGAAACTTTACCATTTACTATGAAGGTTTTCTGTGGTGTGAACCACAGGAAAAGCTAAAGATATCCAATCCTTGGAAGAAGTGGACATGCTGAGTATCGTTCAATCTGCCCTTTGGATGCAGTGTAACGAGATCACTGCACCAGGCTTGGTTAATGGGACATTGGTATGCAGCGTTCTTTGCCAGGGCTTTGCAATAATTCATTGACTGGCTTAGTGGTGACGTATGGCTCGTAGGCAGGCTTGCAGAATTAGAATGATCAATCACTTACTGTATAATGACTTGGCACTCTTGCAACATTGATGTAGAATTACTGATAGACTACATGTGCTTTAACAACCACAAGGAACCAATGGCACTTGGTCAGTAGTAGAATATAATAGCTGTCCACGGACCTCAATTAAAACATAACAAATTATAGGTTGGACATCTTCCAGATATTTGTGAAATAACTAAATATTTCTGTGGATGAATATGTCACATGTGAAATGAAATAGATGTGAAATGGATGTTATGAATATGTCACATGTGGCAAAGATGCTATGAAATGTTTCTTTGATAGTTGTGTAAATAGTTCTTATAATATCTTAATCTGTAATCAAATAAAAGTATTTGTCACTAAGATTTTATAATTTATAATTTGCTCAATTATGTTTATGATTTTGCAATTGCATTTAAATTGACTTCAACAATTTATGAAAAGATAAAATAATAACCAATTAAAATTAAGAAATGACAAAGATATTTAAAATCATACATTTAATTATTTTTTATATTAAAATATTATAATTTTATTATATTTTAGTTATAAACTTATTATCAAGTATAATGTTATTTTAATATCAATTGAAATTTTTTATATAATTTACACAAAAGATGTTCAATTAAAAATTTTCAAAAAGACTACCACTTTTATATTTTTAATTTAATCATAATTGGATTTTAAAGAAATATATATATATATATATATATATATATATGCCCAGATTACATGCATGCTTCAAATTGCTATACATGGATCCATTATATTTATAAATATATATAGCCATTATGTCTATACATACATTTAAGGCCTCTAATTAGAAGCTTTGGACATCTTTATCCTTCTCTTATTTGTCCCAGCCCAACTGCAATACCAATGTCCATTTTGATATAGACCTTAAAAAACTCTTACAATACCAAAAGCTTGTCATAATACTAATATTGTCATATACATATATATTTATCTAGATAAAATGTGCTAAGTAAAAAATAAATATAGGTAGATTTAATATTATCTTACAGCAAAGTTCTTAAAAGCTTTATAGATGCATATTTGACTTTATACATGTTTATGGTTGATTGGTAGGTTAGAAACTTGGCCAACAAGTTAGCCATGTATTGCATGTATAGATAGTTTGTTGTACAAGCTAATGATGTGGCATATATATAAGAAACTTGTCTTGTAAGTTAATACACGTGTGTCACGGACATACGCATGTAAGCTAGTAATTACTTGTATAAATAGGTAGAAGTAAGTAGAAGTAAGTAGAAGTACGTAAAAGTAAGTTAATTCTATAATATCTTCTACAATAGCTTCTTAGAAGCTTTATAGATGCTGCTCTGACTTTATAAGTGTCTTTAATTGACTTTTTGGATTAAAAACGTGGTCAACAAGTTGGCCATGTGCCACACATGTTGTTAGCTTAAAGACCAAACTAATTATGTGGCCTACACATAGAAAAACTTGCTTTGAAAGTCAAGACATGTGTCCTATAAAGTCAACAAACATTAGAGGTCCTATAGAACATCGCCACATAGCCCCTAGTTAGATAGTATATATAGAGACAAGAGTGAAGCCCTCTTCACTCTTTTAATTCCTTTCTTGCTTCTAGTCTAGTTTCAAGAGTCTCAAGTTTTCTTGTCTTTTGGCAATAAGCCCTTCCAATTTCTTTTAATATATGTACTTTCTTACTTCTATTTTGTCACTCTTTCTTTGACATAGATTTTATTGATTTATGCATCATCTTTTAGTTCATGTCCTTGACAGATTGACAAGAGAATATTTATAGTATCAGAGCTTTGTCTTGTCTTAATTAAGAGTGGATTACTCCTTTTTCATGATAAGACATAAGCATATTAGAAGTTGCGGATTACCATCTTCTAAATTGATATTGTTGTTAGTATTTTCTTTGTCCTCAAGTCCTTTTTTTTACTTGTCTTGAGTGGTATTAGATATTTTTCTAAGTATTATTATGGCACAGCTTCTTGAAATGAAGAGTACAATAGCACAAATACAAGAGCAATTGAGTGAATTGATGCTTGCCATGCATTAACTTAGCTTACTACCATAAGGATCAAGAAGAATGGCAAGAAGTGAGGATATAGAGATGATTAGAGTTGCTTCAACATCTGCACCAAATCATGTCCCTCCACACATGGTGGAGCATCCTTCAAGTATTAGAGAACTAAGAGTTGCCCAAAAAGTTTGATGGTACAAGAACCAAATTTCGAGGATTTATTAATCAAGTATAACTTGTGATTGAACTTCAACCTCAAAGCTATCCAATTCCAGGATTACAAGTTAGATTCATTGGCACACTTCTTTCAAGTTCAACACTATTGTGGTTTTCATCTTTTCTTAGATGACGAGATCCGATAGTGGATAATTTGGAGGCATTTTTAGTGGAATTCTGGTCCATATATGGAGAACATGATGCAACTCGTGCTGTAACCAACAAGATCCGTATTTTACAACAAGACAATCGATCTATAATGTTATATGCTTCATAATTTTGACAACTTATAATTGATATCAAGTGGGATAATGCTGCACTTATTGGCCAATTTTTCTATGGATTACAATATGAAGTAAAGAAATTGATGCTTAATTTACGTGATCCTCAAATATTAAGTCAAGCAATTGACTTTGCTGTGAAATGCAATGATCAACTTTTTGAATTTTGATCTGAAAGTCATACAAATGGGCCTCAACGTTACTATTATTTAATGGCAACATGGACATCTCTTCAATACATACATTCAGAAGCAAAGGATATGCAAATTGATGTGGTATGTTTTAAACCTCTTATCGAATAAGAAAAGATTCATCCCCACCAAGAAGGATTGTGCTTATATTATGGAGAACCTAAACACATTACTCAACATTGTCCAAAGAAGCGAAAAAATCTCAAAATGAGGAGCACATCTGTCAAAGAAGACAATGTGTCAGAAAACAAATTTGTCTAGCTATAATAGGGACCATGCGGCTGAAATCTTCTACAATTTCTAATATAAGTCCTATCTTCTCTTCAAAACCCCCTCTTTATTTTATAATTGATGTGTATTTAGGACCAAATAATTATAAAGCCCCTGCCTTGATAGATTCAAGAGCCTTAGCTTGTTATTTAGACATAGAATTTGTTAAAAGTCATAAAATACCGTTAGTACAAAAAATCAAACCTGTTTATATAGAAGTCATAGATGGTCGTCTGTTGTCTTCTAGAGATGTTACTCATGAAATACTTCCTATAGATGTAGCAATAAATTGACATAGTAGTTGCTTAATCTTTAAAATAATTAGATCTTCCTCTAATCCAGTCATTTTAGATTTATCACGATTAAAAAAGTATAATCCTTGCATAAATTAGTTTTTTCATATCCTTGACTTCTCTAAAAGCATAATTAAGAGTGAAATTAATCCAATAGAAAGTCATAAGTCTAGTGCAATTAAACCTATGTTTATAGGTGCAAGAGCTTTCTTGCATGTTGCAAAAGAAGGATCATCTTGTGTCATTTATGCCACACCTATTTCTAATGATGCGAAGACTTCAAGTAGCATTCTCAGCCAATATCAAGAATTTTAAGATGTATTTGAGAAGAAGAATGCGGATACTCTTCCAAAACATCGCCCTTATAATTGCTCAATTGACCTTTAAGAAGGAGCACAACCGCCATTTGGATCAATCTATAGTTGTAGAATAAGTAGTTATTTTCAGAATGTAGATACCTACTGTATAGTGTAAACAGGGATAGATAACTGCTGAAAAGGTGATTCAACAAGTAGAATGGATGAATAGTCAGGAAAAGTAGTTATCATCTGTAATATAGGAGTTGGTATCTAAGGGTAGTATAAGGAGGATGGGAGAGGGGAAAAAAATGCCAAATTGTGAGAGTTGTAAGCCGAGGACCAGACTGTGATAGTCATGAGCCGAGGGCCATCGCTGTGATAGTGTGAGCCGAGGTAAGCTTGGTGCTACCTCTTTTCTTTTGTTTGTTATTTTCTTTGAATAAGAGGATTGAGAGTTTCTGAATATTGTGAAGTGAATTATGGAATGGAAATGTGATTGGTATTATTTGAGAAGAAGAAAGATTGAATGTTGAAATCTGATTGTAATTCAGCAGAGAGAATGAGTTTGTGTTTGTTTGAAATACTGTAATGTGAATGGCAATTTTGTGTGAAGAATTCCAGTGATTGGAACGAGGGTAATTGTGTGCTGAAAGTTGTGAGGGCGTAGTATTACAGTTGGAGATTATGAGGGTGAATATATTGGTAGAAATAGCAGTTATTGGTATGACTGAATTACTGTAAGGAAGAGACCGATAAGGTGAAGGAAGAGATTATAATTTTCTTGTGTGTTCAGATATTGGAAATAGAGACAATATATTCAGGAGATAATTGATTGTATGATCCTAACATGAACGATTAAGCAACTAGTCATTCCCCATGTTCGAATCTCCCTATACGGGTTTATTCTGGGAGGTTTCTTTTAGAATAAATAAAACGAGCAATCATATTTTGGTGCCGCTGTCGGGGAGTGATAATAGCTTTGAGTATTAGGAATTAATTATCAAACGTGTGAAAAAATTGGCAATGGAAGACAATTTCAATAGTGTTTGAAGCAAGATTATGGTTAATAAGAACGAGGGCAATGCATCGAGGAAAATAAATCAGTTGAGAGAAAGACAGGGAAGAACACAAGGAAGGAACTTGCTTAGAGAGGAGCAAGAACATAATCTTAAAAAGAAGCATTGACAGAATTGGATTAAACCTTGGTTGCAAGCTTGTCGGTGCATCCGAACATATTAAGAACCAGACAGACTATTAATTCTACAATCGTATGTATCGTTAGAAAAACTGTCAAGAACACTCGCTGGAAATTTTATTAACATTCTAGTAGAAATCTTGAGGCCATTAACTGAAAGAGAAGAAGGCGTAGAAGAATTTGGTACTTTTTGGATATTTTTTCAGTAAGGGGTATCACTGAAACGAGCAATAGTGGCTCTTCAAATTGGCACAAATTGGTCGCTAATAAAGATAACTATATTGTATTTCAAAATCTGACGTTTTCACCTATAATTCTACCAATAAAACTATTTACAAAAAATAACAGTAAATCGAGGAGCATTGAGAGCTCGAAAATTAGAATAAGGGAAAGCAGAGATTATTT